TCAAATAAAATGAAACAAAATACAATATTGAGTTAATCCGAAAAGACTAAAAAATAGTTACGTTCTCATTCAATTTTTTTTTAAATAAAAGTGTTGCAGCCAACTAATCGCCAACTTTCACTGAGTCAATTGAATTTCATCGCAAAAGATATTGACTTTTTTTACTACTAAGTAACGGGAAGAACAGGACACGTCTGTCCATAAATAGTTGCCGTGCCATCCCGAGCTTTAAATCTCAAAGATTTGAAAGACATTACATACTGACATTACATGGACATTGAAAATCAAATAATTATACATACAGGTGATACTAGCCCAACTGATGATTTTAGCTCATCTTGCAAAGAAATTAATAAAAAATTTAAACTATGAAACCTTTATTTTTGTTTTGCTTCAGAATTTTGGTATTTGTGGTTATCCTTGTGAACTCTGCTAACTACACGTTTAAAATGTTTTACATACTTACTTACGTAAAGTCATCGTATATATAACCAGAAATAGAGACAAAATAAGCGTTATCCATTCCTGGCAACACGTCAGGCAAATGGGCCTTATATCACTTTTAAATATCAACTCTCGTTTGCACTGAAATCACAAATTAGAAGCTTCACAAAGAAGAAGAAATAGTACAGCGCCAACAACTGACTTGTGTGTACGTCTTCGTATATTCCGATAATATTTTGTATTTATTGTAATAAAGATAATATCTTTAACTATGGGGGCTGTTCCATTCGGTGGTGCGGGAAAAACAGCAAAACATCTAATTACAAAACAAACGGAATCACATTTCATCGGTAATTTTGCAATTTTCGTCTATAGTAGCAAAGTTCCCGTCAATTGTTTCGAATTCGGGCTGGCCAATCGGAACGGAGTTGTCACCGTAATGATATGGCAGAATAGTTTCAAATAAATTAAATGACATTTCGTCTCTATTTCTGGTTATATACTCGATGCTAAATGTACACACTCACAGCCCCGCACTAGGAAAACCCAGTGTCGCGGGTGCCATAGACACACACATAGACAACCACAAACTACTTCCAAACTCACGAGAAAAATAAATTTAGGCCATGTAAATATTTCTCCCGGCCCAGAATCGAACCCGGGACCTCTGCGTGGCAGACCATGATGGTTCGGCCATGAAGGCAGTTAAATTTAAAGTTTTTACTCACTTTAAGGTCAAACTCTGGCACTCGTGCATCATAATGCAAGGAATTCACTGTCGTAATGATATTACAGAAGAGGGGAAAAATTGAATAAGGCTTGGCGTAGTGTGCACTCAAACTATTAAAACTGTCTCCAGCTTCAGCGGCGAGCTAAATATTTTAGTAGCTGCCCACAAAGTAGCAGGGAGCAAATAAGATGTTGTAACTCGGGAAGACTGTTCGCAGATAAACCGTCGAGGCGGCTCTTAATTTATTAGGTGGCTTTTAAAATTCTTTTCCTTAAATGGTTCTTTATTTTATTTACGATTCTTAGCACTAGACTTTGCTGCGAAGAATTAAACGTTTCTTTGTTTCATTTTAGAGCGGTTACATACATTACGGGCGTTTGTGACAAAAACGCGATTGCATCGCTACAATTGCAATTTATAGACGGTTGTATTGATGCAAATGTGTAACTGCATCAATTCAGTCGATAATGTTGAATCATTATGTGCGAAAAATCGGTACAGGGTTATGCAGGGTTGTTTTGTTTTGTTAATTGTTAATTTAAAAGTGAAATAAATGGTGCTTTTGCATGGCTGTTTAAAGTCGCGTGTGTGTGTAAAGGTAAAGTCGCTACTGCATTGCGACAGATTCGCAGCAAATGCGTTGTTAAAAGTCACCTTGTGTAATCGCTCTTAGAGTCTATAATCTAGTACTAATTGACGACTAACTGACAAATTGAATATCAATATCAGGCTTGAAAGATCTCGACTGATAAAGTCTACGCTCCGACCAATACCTGCACAACTCCAAAACTCCGAGAGCTTTTAACTCGAACTTCAAAACCGCTTCGAAGCCCTCGAAAACAGCATAGATGTGGACGATCTAAACAACATGGTGGTGGATACTGTCTGTACGGTTGGGCCCAAGTTTTTCAAAACCCACCGTACCAGAATGAAGAAACTCTACGACAAAACACTCCAACTCATGGAATAGAGACATGAAATGAGGCTACAGAACTCAGAGGATGCAAGTCACTACAGGCGGCTAAATAGACAGACATCGAAGTCTTTGACTAGCGACATACGCCAATTTAATACAGAGCGTATCAAAGAGGCCATTGAGCGAAACAACGGCTCCAAGGTGTTCGTGAGAGATCAGTCTATTGGGCAAAGCCAACTGACGAAGCTGAAAACTGATGACGGTAGCATCATTTCATCTAAACCTGAAATCCTGAGGGAGATAGAGAGTTTCTATCGACCTGTTGCAAGCGGGGCTAAAGACCCCGGAGCCAAGCTTACCCGACATTATATCGAAGATATTCCGGTCGTCAGCTTGTATGAGATTAGTGTGACTCTCAAACAACTCAAGAACAACAAAGCGGAGCGCGATGATGGAATCACAACAGAACTTCTGAGAGCGGGCGGCAAGCCGATACTTAACGTCCTCCAGAAGCTTTTCAATTCTGTCATCGTCGAAGGTCAAACGCCGAAGGCATGAGGCAGAAGCGAGGTCGTCCTGTTCTTCAAAAAGGGTGGTAAAACACTCTTGAAGAACTGTCGGCCAATCTCCATATATATCTCCATATAAGTTGTTTTCGAGAGTTATCATTAATCGTCTCGCTCGCAAGTTTGACGACTTCCAACCTCCCGAACAAACCACATCCATGCGCTGCGGCAGGTTATACGGAAGACCGAGGAGTATAACCGGCCACTTAGCTTAGCGCTTGTCGACTATGAGAAGACCTTTGATTCGATCTAGACCTGGGCGGTGCTGCAGTCTCTCCAAAGGTGCCAAGTAGACTATAGGCATATCGAGGTGTTAAGGTACTTATACAAAAACGCCACTATCCGATTACAGGATCCGAGCTCTAATCCTATCCAACTGCAACGAGGTGTGAGACAGGGAGATATGATATTTCCGAAACTGTTCACTGCTGCGTTAGAGGATATTTTCTTTTTCTTTTCTATTTATATTGGAAAGGACTTGGCATCAACATCCATGGCGAGTATCTAACAGACCTTCGATTTGTCGATGATATAGTTCTTATGGTTGTGACCTTGGGAGACCTGAACACAATGCTCGAAGATCTCAGTAGTGTTTCCCAAAGAGTGGGTCTTAAGATGAACATGGACAAGACGAAGATCATATCGAATGTACATGTTCTACCCGCTCCAGTTAAAATTGAGAGCATTACACTCGACATTGTTGACCATTACGTATACCTGGGGGAGACAGTCCAGTTAGGTAAGTCCAACTTTGAGAAAGAGATCTCTCGTCGAATCCAGCTCGGATGAGCAGCGTTCGGGAAACTACAAAAAATCTTTGCGTCCAAATTACCTCAGTGTCTCAAGACGAAAGTCTTTGACCAGTGTGTGTTGCCAGTGATCACATATGAATCAGAGACGTGGTCTCTCACTATGGGCCTCATAAGAAGGCTCAAGATCACTCAGCGGGCAAAGGAGAGAGCGACGCTCGGTATTTCTCTACGTGATAGAATCAGAAATGAGGAAATCCGTAGGAGAACTAAGGTAATCGACATAGCTCGAAGAATTGCTCAACTGAAGTGACAGGGGGCGGGCACATAGCTAGGAGAACCGATGACCGTTGGGGCGGAAAGGTTCTTCGATGGCGACCGCGCACCGGACGACACTCAGTGGGACACCAGGTGGACCGAAATCTGGTAAAGGAAGCCGATGAATGCGGGCAGCGTAGGACCGATCGTCGTGGAGATCGTCAGGGGAGGCCTAGGCCCAGCAGTGGGCGTCGTATGGCTGAATGATGGTGATTATGAATTGACGACTTCGGTGGTTCAACGGTTTGTTCTGAGGACACTGGATCAGTTTGGGAAATATTTTTTTTTCATTACTTCTGGTATGTTTCAGACAAAAGTCCCGGAGTGATTCCTGTCGCTCTCATATAGTTCAGGAAATATTATTTGCAGCGATGAGTGTTATCTCTTGGAACGGCTTATCCTTTCTATATATCTATATGGTAATAAAACCATAAACACTTCCTTTACTTAAGAGTCTACTACCTCTAATGGCTTATAAAAAATATATAGCAAAATTGACGATATACACTGATTACTAAACGGTGTAAAAATGAAAATAGGTATTTTACATAAACCAATGACTTGTTTTTGTATCATTTGAACTAAACAGAACACGTATATCATATGATATACGTTTTTTCAAATGGCTTTGATTTCGTTTGTAAATAAATAAATTTTGAAATAAAGCCAGTGTCCCTGTCACTCGTGTCGCTCGTCCCAAGCAAAATTTGAATTCGAGCTGTGGTAGTATCGATTCTTAAAGCGTACATGGACTGAATGATCTTGGTCCATCAGGTCGTTTTTCTTAACTGTTGGTTCTGCGCAAAATATTGCTGCGGGTTACATGCTCCCAAGCATGTAATCAGATTTTAATTTAAGTTCAATTTTAATTTTAATTTTATTTCAATATTAATTTTATTTCAATTTTAATTTATTTTCAATTTTAATTTAACTTCAATTTTCATTTAAATTCAATTTTAATTTCATTTTAATTTAAATTCAATTTTAATTTTTAATTTTAAGTTTTACTAACTTTAGATTAAGTTCACATGTATGTACTAACAAGTGAGTCTATTGTTACTCGAAATAAAAAGTTATTATTATTATTATAAAATACCGACCGAAGCCGTTGTTTGTTTATTGACCTACGATAAAGACGAAATCTATTAAAATTGAAGATATCGTCTCTTTTTTCAAGATATTTTCAACATGTCTTCCGTACTTACATCTTCCACCAAGGCTTTGGTGAGATACTTATTTACTATAAACATAATAAGTACAACGAAGAGGTAACTCACCCCTTTTCCAGAGCACTCGTTGTTATTGTGGTCGGTTGGGCACTTCGTGTGGTCAATAAATGGGAATATGGAGGAGCAGGTTTGGTTGACGCAGAGGAGGTTGTCGCCGCACGGTGTTCCATCCCGCACCAGACCTAGGTAGCCGATCTCCGAATGCTGCGGAAGACCCGTGGTGGCTCTGGAAAATTGTGGCACAAGAACATTGTAATCTAGACTAAGGCATTTGCATATAGCTGTAGATTAATAGACAAACTTTTCATGGCTGTTAAGTCGGTTTTTGGAATTCCAGCTGCAGAACAAAGTTGATACAATTATAATCCTAAACCTTTGGGACAAGCATTTGAGAATAAAAGATTCAAGTTCAGGAAGCGTTTAGGTTCAATTTGTCGCGGAACAAGCAAAAAGGTTCGCGCGTCTTCCGGAGTATGGGTCGAAACACAAAACTGCGATGCGGCATTGCATCGCAAACATCTACGAGCTCGCACCACGCATCGCAAGAATCTGCGAATTGCTCCGCATCGCGCATTCCTACGATGTTATTTCTTCTTTGTGTGTTCTTCCAATATTTCCTTATCAACAACAGCAGCGTAACACTCTGGCTACGATCCATGTCGCTACCTAGTTTAAAAAAATACGTTGAGTAGGATTGACGATCGTCGAAGGAATGGTTACCCGAATCCTGGCACTGAGACGCTTAACCTCACGAAAATGCAAATGCATCTATTCGCGTCGCAGTTTTCTGCGATGCGAATTTACATCCCGCCCGATTTGCAGTTTTCTGTTTCGACTCTATACCGGACTGTTTCGCAGCTACCGACAGTATCCAGTTACAAACGTACAATTTCATAACACAAATAGGTGTCCATTTCGTTCGGCGGTAATGTAAATTGAGTCTTAGAAGAGTTATTTTAGAGGTACTTACTTGCATTCGTACTCAGTACCCTTAATAGTGATGACTGCTCTAGTGTAGTACTCGTCCATGCCGGGTACTACGGGGTACCGGTTGCCTTGCTGGCACTGCAGCGATCCGCATTTTATGTTCCTGATCATGCCAAGACGGAAAGAGTTTAGTAATGACGTCAATAATGATGGATTACGTCGAGATTTTAAGGTCCCACAAAGTATCCAAGCTACGTTATGTTAAAGCACAGACCACACCGCGAGCGAAGCTAAGTTAGCTTAGCTCACGTAGCATGGGCATGTTTTCATACATCTGTTCATCTGCGAACTAAGCTAATCGAGCTACCAATTTGGGCTAACTACCTAACGATCCCGCTAAACTAGATAAACTGCCACCCTTCTTTCTCCCTTGACTCTTCCACGTGTACATTTATTATATTTGAGGTGGTCATTATTAGAATAACAGATAACACAATCGAACCTTCTGTTATTATTCTGTTGCATCGTGCGAACTAGTAAGTATGTAATATCAATAGCTTTTTAGCTTGATCTTGCTTTGGTCTAGCGTCAAGTGGCCACACGTCAGTACGGCCCCGTATTATTATACTTACTACTTGCTACGTCAGCTAAAGTAAGTTCAGTTGCTTAACTCGTATAGTTGGTTAGCTTAGCCTCACTCGCGGTGTGCCCGCGCTTTAAAACTCGATTTACTGAAATAATTGTAGCCTATATTATTAAGTATTTCAAACAGTACTTACTCGGTGTCACATTTAATATACTGCCCATTACTATCCTTTCCACAGTGTCCGGTGTTAACTCCTTTCGAGTTGAACTGTTCAAAGCATTCTTTATCCGCTCCCTGACTTCCAGTTCCCCAAATTGTCTCGCATTGTAGTGACAGAGTGGGACATTGTCCATTGAAGCAGTACCCCTTGTTGCCCTCACAAAGCTCCCCGTTCTTGCGGTATGCGTCAGGAGGGCAGGCTCCTGAGAGCCCTGTGCATGTTTCTTCAAGGTCACATTCGTTGGACGAGTCTCGGCAGACAATCCCGCGTGGTTTTAACTGTGAAAAATAAGAAATAATTTATGTGACCATTTTAAGAAGTATAAGATATTGTTTTCGATAGATATGTCTGCACTACTGTCGTCCGCTAACTAAAACGCGGAAAAATGAGATATCACAAAAAAACCATAAACTGGTATATTGAAATTGTTTAATAATATTTCAGCGTTGCATCGTTAGGGTAAGTTCCGATAAGATGAACATGTTAACTAATTTTAACTCTTTTCAGAAGAGAATTTTGTGCTCTAAATGAAGTTAATGTAAAGAACAAGTGTTGTTTGCAATACATTCTTCAGCCTTTGATTTTCTTGCTACTTGATTGGATAGGATCAAAATAAACGCTTACCTGGCATCTTTCGCAGCATTCTCCAGTAGCACACTGCGCCTCTTTGATCAATCGGCAGGTGTACGGGTCACAGCATTGATTGGAATTCTGACATTCCGCAATAGTTCCACAGTCACACTCTTCACCTTCATCCAGTCTCCCGTTGCCGCATTGACGGTGAATCACCAGCTGATCAACAAAAAACCAATTAATAATTTGAGGAATCCAAATCTGCAGAAACCACTTTTAATTTTTCAAGGTGTTGCAAACTGTACTGTTGTTTGCAATCAAAACTTTAAAGATGGCGAAAAGCTTGCACTTAAGAATATACCCCTAATAAACTTCACTTCCTCAAGTTCCAGCGTGTAACGTCAAAATGAATTAAGTTAACTGACTACACGGACGAAGATTGTTTGTAAGTATTCTTACGTAACTCACGCGTGTAAGTCTCCAAGCAGGAAGGCATTTGAGCGTCAAGTTTTATGTATAAGTTACGCCGGGTTCAATAAAGGCCCGTCTTGGATTTCTATTAGTTCACGTTGAGCTCCTATTAATCTGGCTTCAGGTGGATATTAGCACGGGTCTGATTTCAGAATATACAATGTTCAGGGACGTATTTTAATCACAGCTAAGACGAAAGTAATTATTGTGCATTCCGTTCACTCAATTCTTCCCCTTGTATTTTATCGAGTTCACGTACTCAATCGTCGACGGCTAACGACTTTTCCAGCAATAAAAACCTTTCAAGAACACAGATACCGAAATTGCTTTGGTATACGCATACTAAAACACTCTTAAAGAAAGTATAAAACGCCTACCATCGGATTTACATTACAAGATAACTTGAAGACTAAAAGGCCGTACAAATGTAAGACGTGTAAGTAGGGTAACAAAGAAAGGGACGGGCTGTACCAATGAAGAGCAAGAAAATAAAGCACTTGTACCTCCACAATCATCGCCCGATAAATATGTAAACGTGGCAAATCGAAGCGGGAGATGCGAAGCTGCATTATCATTCGGCAGTATGTAAATTTATTCCAATAAACCGTCCGGGCCCTCGCTCGTTATAATATATTCGCAAACGAAGAGATAATTCTGAGCGCGGGCAGTATTACCATAACTTTTATTAAAGGAGTGGGCTGAAGACTCCACTGACGACAAACAATGCTGGCTCCTGATTAATTTTCGACGTGAAAATCTGTTTTGCATTAGAATCAACTGCGGCGTGTTAGTGGGAGTGTCAATGAGGCAGTGTGCTGAAGAGTTGGAACCGAGGCGGAGGAACGACCGAGTTTCATATTCCCGTTGCCTCTCGAGGGGGATTAACTCGGAATAGAAGGTGTCGAGTTAATTTGCACCTTAGTAATGAAGCTTTATAGTCTTTGTGCTCAAATCGTGCATAATTCTTTAGTGTTGCCCCGAATTCTGTAAGACCTTTTGTATTTGAAGTTGTTTGCCAGACAAACGAATATTTTAGCATGTCCATAAAAGCAGATAAATCGGCGGCTTACGCTGTTACACGAGATCTATGTCCCATGGACAATACTTTATAGGGCGACAGGGAAGCCACATGAATATGAATATTATCGGCCAAATTGCATTATGCTTACGCAGACCATTGTTCATTTTTGTATTTTCACGTCTGATTACAGGCTGCTTTTGCAGATTTCTTGAAGGCGATATAAAACGCGATAAAGTGGGTTTTATGCTAGGAAGAGGAGATACTTTCTTGTATATCGTTAGATAAGAAAATAAACAACACGAAATGTCAATAAATCTTATATGTATTTCTTACCCGTACATTTGTGTTGCAATGTCTCTGAAAGGAAAAACTGTTTGTCTTTGATGACAGGACAGATTTATTGATCGCCAAAATGTATTATTTTCAAGAAAGGCACTGCCATTAAGCAAGGAAGAAGATTTGTCAAAGAAAGTCACGTCGTTAAGAAGTACCTCTGCCTTGTTTTCGCTATGGACATCTATCTATCGAAGAAAATGTCCTACCTGGGGTCTTACCGTGAACTCTTATTACGATCAGTTTAGGACCTAAAATGAATCCTTGTGAGATAGCGCTACATGAAGTGTATATCACCATCCCGCTTAATGATTATCACTAGTATC